AAAAGTAGTTCATTATATTTAAACCCCTTTTAGACATTTGAAGGTCATGACAGGCACTATATAAATGTAAATCTTTTTAATATGTTGACAACCAAAAGACTAGTAATTACACTGTCAGTAAAGTGCACAGATAAAGCATGGTGACTTTCCAAGGGAAATTATACTTGAAAACATATCTAGAACCACGTTCCAGCAAGTCAGCAATTTAAGGAGAGGGGATAATAAAATTAGATACCTGAAGGAAGATTGAAAATAATAACAACAAGCTCTGGTATCACGCAGGTTATTCTTCAGTTCCGACATTGTGAAGAAATCAACAACAGGATGGAAATGACCTGTAGATTATATGCAATTCTTCTGTCTCTTCAATTTCCTAATCCCTTCACTCCACAGCTAAAGTTAAGGAAGTTGATTTCAAACCAGAGAAAATGAATAAATGACTGGTTCACACAAAATGAAGCATTGTAGTGTTTGTGTGAACTGAATATCCTGCTTAGAATATTGAATGTGCTAGGGTATTGTTGTTGACAGTAGCATTGGCACATTGGCTCAGCACTGAATTGGACAATAAAAATAATTTTCCCACTAGTTGCTACCAACAAGTAACTTGCTCACAACTCAGCCACTTTAAAACAGAGGTGCATCTGCGCTCTGTATGTGACAAACAACACCTCCTGGTCGCCAACCATTTTAACTCCCCTTCCCACTCCCTGGTTGACATGTCCATTGCGGGCCTCCTCCAGTGTCACAATGACACTAACCGCAAACTGACGGAGCAACAGCTCAGTGGTCAGCACTGCTGCCTCACACCGCCAGGGGCCAGGGTTCGATGCCCCCTCAGGCAACTATCTGTGTGGAGTTCGCACATTCTCTCAGCGTCGGCGTGGGTTTCCTCCGGGTGCTCCGGAGTCCTCCCACAGTCCAAAGGTGTGCAAGCTAGGTGGATCGGCCATGCTAAATTGCCCATAGTTTTCAGGATGTGCAGATTAGGTGAGCTTGGGGAATGGGTCTGGGTGGGATGCTGAGGGTCAGTGTGGTCTTGTTGGGCCGAACGGCCTGTTTCACACTGTAGGGATTCTATGGAACACCTTATAATCTGCCTTGAAAGCCTACAGCCCCATGGCCTAAACATGGAATTCACCAGTTTTAAAATCTCTCCAAACCCGGCCTCATCCCATGTCCAACCCTCCCACTCATTCCCGCCTCTTTGACCTGACAAAACTTGTTCATTTTCTCTCCCACCCATCGCACCAACCATCCCACTGACCACTCCCTACCTGCATTCACCTATCACCATCCCCACCCCTCCTCTCTCTATTTATTTCCCAGCTCCCTCCCCCCGCCCCATTTCTGAAGGAGGGTCCCAACCCAAAATGTCAATTTTCCTGCTCCTCTGATGCTGCCTAGCCTGCTGTGTTCCTCCAGCTCCATACGGTATTGTCTCTGACTCCAGCATCTGCAGTTCTTGCTATCTCTAAGATCACATCCTCCCATCTTCTTAACCCCTCCCCCAAGATTCCTTCTCAATATCCAAAATGTTCTTTTTTTAATCATCTTGCATCAGAAATCAGTGAATCATGCTGGTGGGCTTGATTCTATGGGTAACAAAACCCTCTTTTGTCTCTCTCAAATTATTTTTCCTTCATAAGAACATAAGAAAAAGGAAACACCGAACCTGCACCATTCAATAAGATCATGGATGAACTTTAGATCACGTTTGCTTTTCTGTCCTATTGTCATATATCTTGATTCACTTAGTGCCCAAATACCTCCGCTCGATACTCATCAACTGAAGCATCCACTGAATTCCAAAAATTGAAAACCAGTGAAGAAATATCTCTTTATCTCAGCCCTCATTGGTCTATCTCTTATCCTAAGACAATTACCCCTAGTTTTAGACTATCTAACTAGAGAACCAGCTGCCCATCATCCACCTTATCAAAACTTCTAAGAAGTTTATATGTTTCAATGAGACCATTCTCTCATTCTTCTAAATTCCATAGGCTCATTCTACTCAACCCTTCTGCATAAGGCATTTCTCTCATCTGAGCAATCATTCCAGTGGACTTTATTGCATTCCCTGCAAGGCCAGTATACCACCTGTGGTCTCAACAAAGTTCAAAAAATTGCAATAATATTACTGTATTCTTATACTCTAAAACCCTTGCAATGAAGGCCAACATGCTACTTGACTTCCTAGTTGCTTAGCATATCTGTATATCACCTTTCTATGGTTTGTGTGTCAGGATTCCCAAAACCTTATGAATTTCAACATTTCCAATCTCCAACCATTTGAAAAGAATTCTGCTTAGATAATTTCACACTTCCGGACATTCTACCTATCTGCCACATGCTTGTTCACTTAACTGGTCTATAGTTCTTTTCAGCTTCTTTGTGTCCTCACAGCTTACATACTTACCAATTTAGATTCATTATTGCTTAGTCCTCTCATTTAAGTTATTAATATATACTGTATTTAGCTGAACCAGCACTGATCTGTGTTTACAGCATGAGTTACACCGTGACATTCTGAAAATAACCCATTAATTTCTATTATATTTCTATGTAAAAACCTATCCTCAACCCGTACTATACATTACTCTCAGTTCCATCACCTCCAATGTTGTGAAACCACCTTCGCCAAAGCAGCTTATCAAATGTCTTCTGAAAATCCAATTATCCAATGGTTCCTCCTTATCAACCCTGGATGGATTTATCAAACACAATTTCCCTTTGACAAATCATGCAGATTCTGTCTCATCATATTGTGACTTTACAAGTGTACTTATCATGTCATTAATCAATTCTAACATTCTCCATATTACTCATGTCAGCTAACAGGCCTAGAGATCCCTGTTATGACGATACTATGACTTTAAGGTGAGTTTTCAGTTCCAACCTCTGAAGTTCAAAAACTCTCTCCCTTTCTTACTCTAGGGCCTTCCTTTCCTTTAACTTTTTCCTCTGCTTTTAATCATAATTCAATCTGTTTTATTTCCTTTTGTTTTGCCAAGGCTAATCTCTTTTTCTTTTGCCTCTAACTCAATCTGCTTTGTTTTTATGAAGAAAGGTTGAGATCAGAAGTATCAATCAGCCTGCTTCAAAGCCCATAAAGTAAACAGCTTATGAGACCTTGCGCTTTGTTTGCAAGTTGGAACAGTAGAAGTAGCCCAAATGGTGGGCTCAAGCTCCAACAGAACCAGGATTTTTAGTTTTAGGTTTTCAGTAGCAGCAGTTCTTGGGGTCTTGAAGCTGGGTTTAGAAGCTGCAATACATCTCTCCCTGCTATACATGTACACACACACACACCTTTCTCTTGATTTTTTTTCCTCCTAAACTGGAGAACTGCCCATGAGACAAGAGATAGTAGGAAAGGGTCTAGGCCCAAAACGTCAGCTTTCCTGCTCCTCTGATGCTGCTTGGCCTGCTGTGTTCATCCAGCTCTACACCTTGTTATCTCAGTTTGCCCATGAGACAATCCATTTTGGGATGTTACTATATTGGAACAGTTAATTAGTAGTAGTTAAAATAACAACATAATCAATAAACATTTTGATAGAGTTGTAGGTAAGCTAATTCTTTTCCCTTATTTTGTCTTTATTTTAACTGTTGTGTACAAATAAAGTGTATTTTAATTCAGATCTGCTGGTTTGACCAAATTGCATCTGGAAAACAATGCCTGGCACTTGCCTATAAAATAAGAAAAAGTTAGGGTCTAGGCCATCTTCTTAATATATTTTGAAGGGGTGTGGTCTGGTTCATAACAAATTGGGGGCTCATCCAGGATCAAAAGGTTGGGTTTAGGATTATTAGACTCAAAGGCAATGACCGTTAGTGTCTTTTATTTCGGGAGTAGCATTTGGTTGGTTTGAATAGGGTGAGCTTGTGTAATAATGGCTCTTTCTGTCTTTTCTGGGGGTGGAAGAAGTCACTTCTGGAGTTTTACAGAAAGCAAGGCAAAGATTGCAGAATTGGCAAACAAGCTGGAGTTGGTGTTGCCTGTGTCAGTGAGGAGAGGGGAGAAAATTGTGGCAATTGCACAGCATTTTCAATTGCCAGGAATGCCATTGGAATCTTTGGAAATGGCTAAATTTCAATTGCGAATGAAGCAGGTTGAGTTAGGGGCAAAAGAAAAAGAGAGATTAGCCCTGGCAAAACGAAAGGAAAGAGAAAAGCAAATAAAACAGTTTGAATTATGATTAAAAGCAGAGGAAAAAGTTAAAGGAAAGGAAGGCCCCAGCATAAGAAAGGGAGAGAGTTTTTGAACTTCAGAGGTTGGAACTGAAAACTCAAAGTCAACTTAAAATAGTTGGGGGCAGAGATGAATAGTAGGAGCAGTGATGAAGACCAATCCCATTGTAGCCATGGTGGTGTAGAGTGGAATCAAGTGACTAGTAATTGAGTTATGAGGGACAATTGAAGAAACCATCTTCAATTTAACCATCAAAAAGAAGTGGCTAAAAGAGGCCAGATTCCTTCAAATTAAATCAAGCTATATTTGTATGCATTTTTAACATTATGAAATAGCACAGGGCATTTCACAGGAGCATTATAAAACAAAGTATAACAAAGTCAAATAAGAAGACATTAGGTCTGACAATGTGATCAAAGTAGTAGATTTTAAGGAATTCTTCACAGTAAAACCAAAGTGCAGAGGTGGAAAGATGTAGGGAGGGAATTCCAGACCTTGGGCATAGGCAATTGAAGGCACAGCAATAGTGAAACAATTCAATTGGGAGTGCAGAAATCTCAGATCACTTGAAATATTTGATACTTGTCTTGAAATACTTAATGAATAAGAAAAGTGTTGGCCTAGCTTGCATCATTGATTCCAAAGAAGTGTCAGCAATGGTGACCAACAAATACAAGTGCTGTTGCCACTGTACAAAATTACAGTAGGAAATAAAAAGAAAACAGCTACAGGAAGAAAAGTGCAGCAACATCACCCAATCTATAACACTTACCAAGGATTATATTCTGATCAGTTCAATCAAACTTACTTGATCAATATCAGCACAAGATAGTCATTTCAGTTCAAGTCCTGCAATTTAAATAAGAAAAGACAGGACTCGGATAGAATTCCAAAACTTTTCTGGAAATATGACTTAATTATCTAATGATATTAAGTTCAAGGACTTGTGACACAGTAAGTAGAATCACTTCCTCAGATATAAACTCCACGTTCAAGTCCCACTCCAGGACTCAATGGCCAAGGAAGGTACCCCTAAAATAGGTTGCATATTAACTTGCCACCTGCCTTGGAGTATGTTGGCAGAATGTAGAAGAGCAGGAGAAATTCTTGATCAGCCACGTGATAGTTCTAATAGTTGTTGTTCTACCATTGCAATTCATAGCTCTGAACTACAACATGCATATAAATATGCACATTATCAAAGCAACTCGAACTTCTTAAGAGACAGTTTGGTTGGATAGCTAAGAATCATATAGATGCCAACAGCACAGGATGGAATTGAGACCTGCCTCATTGCCTAACCCGTGGATCAGAACTATCTTCGGGCAGAGAGAATTGAAGAATAATATTAACCATCATTGCATAATAAGGTTTTTTTTTCTCCATTTTCTGCCTCTTTGTTCTTTAGCTACTGGCTCAATAGCCATACAGGAGCTTGTAGTCATTGAGTATTTTGCCCGAGATGTGCAATGAGTATTGGTGGGCTACTACACTGTGGTACATCATGACCGCGAATAATCATCTTATCCATCGTCCAAACAGACCCGTGGGAGCTTATGGATGATGATGAAAAATGTGAGCTCTGGGTGAGGTTTCTTCTTCACAAGTAGAGGCCATCCATAGTACTGCTGCCGAAATTGTAAACTTTTTAACGTGAGGTCAAACGTCCCTCACTGCTTTGTGTTGCTTTTGTGGTATGATTGTCACCCCCAAGCTATTACTGTGTGTCATGTTATAGCATTACCAGCAGAATAGCCTGACAGAAACTCGCCCTTTATAGGAAAAGAATGTAGTACTCAGGATAGAAATGGCAGCGGATACTTAAATAGGGTAAAAGGGGTTAGAGTACATTCTATTCAAATTGTTGATGGATAAAAAGCACCAGAATACCCAAGCCAAAGATGTGGCTGCTTCCTCAAAAACCATAGAAAAGTTGAGGACATTTAAAATGCATGAATGGATTGTTTTCTTCCACGCTTATACATTCAATATATACAAGATGACATTTATAAGAAATTAATTTAATTCAAAAGTCCTCCCTCTGCCACCATTATAAAAACAGCCATTTATCTCAGCAGGATTTGGGAGTCAGCAGACGATGAGCTTTGACACCATGTCACACCTCAGGGATCACATTAAGAGTAGATATCTTTTATAATCAATCTGCCCAGAGATGCTATTACAAACCTCTGGAGCAGATGGAACGTGAACTCAAGCCTCCTGGGTCAGAAGTAGGGACACAACTACTGTTCCACAAGAGTCCCTACACCCAACAGAAGTAAAATTTGTTGGCAATCTTTGGAACCTGTGTATATTTGAAATTTAAGAAGCAGTATTCAGCCCATTGAACAATGGTGGGAATGGGGAACTCACCCTCACAGGGAGTTGTTAAAGCAAAAGTGTAGATCCATTTGAGGGAGATGTTACAATGCTTGGTTTAGATGTGGAAAAATGGGAGGAAGTTCAGGTGGAAGCTGAATGGCCTGTGCTGCATATCCAATGCAACCTTATTAATGCACATGTATATTCCTGATTAGTACGTTATGTGTGGTAAAGTAATCCAAACGTGGCAAATCGACTGTTTATCTCAGCCAGGCAGCTGTAGGGGCAAAAAAATTGACCTTGGTGCCCCCAAGGGAAGCTCCAATTGTTTGTATATGCTGGGTTGAAAAGGACAAGATGGAGCTTGTCTGTGATGCTCCTTCACTGCCTCTAAGCATTATCCAAGCTAATGCATTAAGTAAGGTTATTTGGATGACAATTGTGAATTGCCTATGAAGTCCAGCATGAAGTGTGGCCTATGGGAGGAAAATACTGAGGGGTTGAAAAATCACGAATAAAGCCTGCAATGCACGCATTTTACCATCCAAACTTTCTCCGTATAATAATAATGATCGTCTACGTACTACTTAACCAATAAGCTTACTGAATTTTTTGCAGAACGTTAATCGCATTATCCAAGGTACATAGCGGCTGAATGGTATTCTAGCAACGACTCGACCAATTTGCAAAGTAAGTACTGAAGGGAAAACAAATGTTCTTTAGGCCAATCTCCACGGAAAACAGATTGCCTTGCGTTTGTTTAGCCAGGCTGTATGAGTTTGTACATCATTTATTTTTGGATGGGGACAATAGATACATGGAGATGGCGAAGAGATACTCTGATTCACCACAAAGTATTGTGGGGGGGGGTGTTAGGAAATCAAGCTGAGGGCTATCTCATTAAGGCCGGGCGGTGGCGCTTCCTGTCTCCTCATTCCGACCACGTGGACCTGTCAGTTTTCAGCGCTCTCTCGACAAGCTGCAACATCTCATTCAGGAAACTGACACGATCGAGAACCCGTCTACCGGGCTTCCCATTCTCCGCCAGGCCTAGAATTCGGGCCCCCGTCAAACATAAACTGCTTTTAAAGAAAATAATCAGCGAACATTTACTTTCGTTTTTATCTCTAACCAAACGCCTTGCAATAAATAGCCAGTTTAATCTGACAAGTCTCAAATTCACCGACCAAAAAAAATCACAATTTACACAAAAATAAAACGATTCGTGATGAGGAAGTTAAACACGACACGACAAAACGGAAAATGCTACGTGAATACGAGTCCAGCCAAATGTTACACGATTACGACTTCTCGCGTTAAAAAAGTATAAAGTTTGCAAAATATTCATTTTTATATTAAAAACAGTGAATTTCCAGATTGGCTTTAAAATTTGCTTTACAGTTTACCATGCTAAAATAATGAAAACGCAGTTCGTGGAGTGAAGGGGAAGTAGTCAAAATCCACCCACGGTGTACATTTTAAAAATAATTTCTGTAAGTAGGACAAGGTTTTCAGTGTGTTAGAAAGTGCAAGCTCAGCCTGACATGCTTAGAACGTTCAGACACCGCTTCCCAGGGAACGTTCTCTTTGAACGAGGAGAAAAAGATACAATTCGAAGCACGAGGGAACCTCAGGGGCTCTCATAGTTAGAAACCAAACTGCTGCTGATCCCTTCATTAAAGACACCCACTTCTCATTTAAAATAATATATTTGTTTATACTCACGATCTTCCGACACGTAGCGCTGCAGTCTATGAAACTGCGTGCACCTATTTTAAATATTTATTTATATGTATATCCTTTTTTCTTTGCTTTTCGAGTCTTGAGCTAGCAGCTGCTTCTCAGCCGAACCAAGAAGCGAGAGAAACTCCAAAGAACGCCACGAAATCCCCTACTGTTGTCATGGTAACGTGCCGCCGCCTGGAACCCCTCCCCTGCCAGCAGCAGATGGCCCCAGCCTCGCCGCTTTGTGTATGTGTGTGTGTCTGTATCCCACACTAGGGCAGTACCTTCAGACAGAGAAAGAGGACGCAGGGGATGGAGCCACTTGGCCGACGCAGAAATAAATTCGTAAGCATTAAATTTCGTTTATTTTTCCATCAATTTTTTTTTAAATGGGGGTGGTGGAAGTTGGGTGAGTGCAAAATTGCAGTCGGCAGAAAGCGCCAACCAATGGGATGGCTGGTCTCGGGGGTTCCTACACGTCATTTTGGCGGTAAAGCCTTCAAGGTTTTAATGGAAATAATGATGCTGTTGACGAGTGTTTGATTTAGAGAATGCAATGCGTTTAAAGTCTTTTAAAGGTACATTCTTCTGCATTTTGCCAATACTTTCAGTTCACGTGGTACAAGTATGCATATTACGTAAATGCTTTTGCTGTAGGGTTTAAGGTGCTATGTTGATTTAATTCGTTGAAGTATCTTTAAACAAATGCTTTATTGTGGTATTTTCAGGCGTATCAATAATTGAAAACACAAGAAATCAGCGATCCCTCCAATTGACATCGTTAAGTAAAAAATTCCTATATATACGTTTGAAGGTTGGAAAAAAGTCTATGCAGCTGAGTTACTTGTTCTTGTCAATGGGCACAACTAGCCCCACTGAATAGATTGAACAAATTATCAAATGTTGCAAAGTGCAAATGTTTTTTGGCATCATCACTAATTGAGTCACTTGATCACAGTGACTGTTTTGAGCAGCATATGAAGAAGAGGAGAATGCTTTAATGAATTCTTCACGGAGGCCGCATGTCTGCAGTGAAATTCAGACCAAGATTATCACCAATTGGGTCAAGTCTGACCTGGAGTTAGTGACCTGGATCGTACCTGCATTGCTTCCAAAAAGAAAATTGCTGATAAGCTCACCCTACTTAGGCATTTGATTTCTTATGTGCAGGAAAGGAGCATGGAATCCTGCATCATCAGTTTGGACAACAAAAAGCCTTTGACAGAATATCATAGATGATATTCTCTAAAACAGGTTTTGGGGAAAGAATCTATCATTGATTCCAATTGCTCTACATAAACATCAGCAGTGCAGTTTCAATCCTGGATAGGAATCAGATAGGGCTGCCCCCTCGTCTCTGCCTTGTTTGTGTGCTGTATTAATTTTTTTTTTTTTTTTGCTGCGTGTACCAAGGGAGGATATGAATGTAAGAGGGCTGACAAGCTCAGGACCAGAAGTGTGAAGTTCAAAGCCCTCTACACATAGATGGTATCAACATCTTGATTCTGTTGTCAGTTTGCAGAGTAAACCATGGCAAGAGTGAGGCCATGTTCTTTGGGAACCAGCCCCAAAGATCTTTTGTACCATTCACTGTTATATCAGACTATCTGAAGATGCCGGGATACGGTTTGTAGGAGCTCGGGCACTCTCAAGTCAGTTAGACCATTTGTACCACCAAGCCCTTGTGAAAATGTTTCTGTAGAAAAATCATCTTTGACCAAAGTCCATCAGGCTGTTGTCAGTGTTTAACATCCGAGGCTCTGCAGGAGGAAGGGAAGATAGGATCTATCTGTTGAGCAAACTGTCGACATAATTTGGCCGAATGTTTCATTGTCAGAGCTATTAAACTAAGACCAAGGTGTGGCTTCGCTAGTGGTGAGAAGGGTCCAGGCTATTAGATTTTTCCTGTATGCCTGGAATTACTCCCTCCACAAGCTGCCTTCAAGTGAGTTGAGGTGGGAAAGAGACAGTCAATTGTCCTTTTTTTTTAAGGAATGTGCCCTTGAAAAGCAGATCTGGAAAGAGATTAAATGGTTTTTGTAAAGGTTCATCTTGAGCAGCTCCATAACTCTGCGCTCTCCAGCCTGTTTCTAGAAATGCACTGTGAGATCAATTTCAGCAGCTGGAGGACCATCAACACGGTAAAACATATGATATGGAGGTG